ATTTTTGTTACGGGCCATAGATATGTAGAGCTAATCAACCAAAAGGTGATGCGGTGCCCTCAGCTATGTTAATCACCATGAGGCGCGAAACGGATACTCAGCGCCAAGAAGCAACCGGTGTCTTAGCATCGCGTATGATAAAGAGAAAGGGCTATGCCATGGGAATTCTCTTCATCCTTGAGCCTCCCGACATTAACTCTGAAGGAGGTGAAAGAAATGTCTGCGTCTGGATGGTGGAGAAGAATAGCTGCAAGCTCGTCAGGGAGCCGAATGGCACAGCATTGACGTTTATTGTGCAGGTGATTTCGGAATGATCCTTGATAAGCTCTACGGCTACTATGTTGAATACGAATGCGACCTGGCATGAAGTGTGGTGACCGAAAAATCTTGTAAAGCCCTGATCACAACGCTGCTAAGGCAAAGGGCACAACGAACGATGAATTGCGGCTTCGACATAGGTGAATGTCCAACACCACAGATGGACAACTGTGTCGATTGGTATATATGGCGTTGATTCCGCATGCCAAACGAGTACAGCGAGATACGTGCGAAAATATCGAGGCTCTTCTTACTGTGGCCTTTTTCACACCGCCTGATTCCTGGCTTGGGCCGCACCGTCGATCAGCCTGCGGCAAGGTCCTGACGTGGTGCGTGAGATAGCGTGCACTTATATGGCCAAGCTGCCAAGCTTCTGGCAATACCGAGTCGGCCCGGTGAATGTGGCGGACGCTGTTTCGTTCTCGCACATTACCTACCTATGCCCACAAAAGTTCAAGTAAAGCACCCGATGCACAGCTGAGTGAGGTATCGTCACTCATGCATGGATGAATTTCATCCATATTGGTTGTGGCTCTGCGATCGTCGGGGAATAGTCATGGACCGGATTGCATTAAGCGGAGTGTCAGGCTCAGGTCTGACTGTGCATATATGCTGGCAGTTCACCGACTTTGAAATGGTCAGGGTGCCCGGGGCTTAGGATTCTGATTAGTAGCCGCATATATCAGGGGAGAAAGGGCGTGTGCATTTTGTGTCGAACCATCTTTATCACATCTGTCATTGCCGGTCCATAACTGACCGCGCCTTGATTGCACATGGGGCTAGTCATTAGGCAGCCGTGGCGGACTGCATTTGAATTAGACTAGTTAGGTCGAAAACTCGCCTCCCGCCCATGCGGCGATTGACATACTCTGATACACCTTGGTTCGGGGACCATTCCCTTGTCAGAGGGTGCAGAGTAGGTGGAATCGGTCGGTGAGACAAGAGCCTGACAGATGCTCATTCGCACATATGCGTACGTTGTCACATCTACCTTCGTCGCTAGAAGTTCATTTGTGGGTACTATACAACCAATCCAGTCATAATGACTCACCAACAATAGCTCTCAGAAAGCTTGAGTTGCTTCATCGTGGCCCTTGCTTGTCATTGTCTTGTTGTACCTCTGCATCAGACATGCTACCAACCCAGCCTGCATCAGATCTTGAGCTTCATCGTATAAGACAGTGTCATGACCTCCAAGAACATGGCGAATTTTGATTCGGAAGCTGTATTTCAAGTGCTTCACCCATAGGAAACAGTCCGTTCAGGGTTTTAACGCATTCTTTCCGGCTACATCATTATTCGACGCCGACCATGTCATCACCTTCTCTCATACCACAACCCCCTTCAATCTACGATGATTCTTCGCACAGAATGATTGAGGAACGTCATGATAAAAGTCTAGATGGCGGACGCCGCACCGGACACATCATTTCATTTTCCAATGTCGAACTGTCGATGTCATCCACGATCCAATACACTGAACATGTACTACATGGCGCTGAGACTCCGGAGCGGTTCGGCGGCGCAAGCCGCCTTCATGTGAGTTGGACTTTCTGAGTTTGTTAGCAGATACTGACAGTTCCAAGTCGTCTTCGAGACATCAAGCTGCCAATCCTCCGAGATCCGACGAGTCTATCTCTGACACTGGACACGTCGCGCCAAAACCTGATGGCACAAGAATTTGCCTCACATCGCATACGGCTCCGAACTCTGGAATTCCGGGTCAACCCTCGCTCGAGGCGGGTGGAGCGAAGGAGGCGAAGTGTTTCTGCGAGAACCTGGAGCTCGGCATTATGCCGCCTGCTCAACTAATTCACAACGGTAATCTTTACAGAGTAAAGCAAGACCCAGTTGAGTTTCTATCAACTTTGAAGAAGCCATTCACGGCTCCATTTGGATATGTCATCTTGCATGGTGCCAAAGACTGGGTCACGGAGGGAACCTTGGTCGTAGGCTGTGATCGATCGGTCCTTGCCTGTTTCCAATGTAAGAAGACCGTCAAATGCAACGCAGAGCTAAGACCTGATCAGATCAATGAGCTCTTTTCAACTATAGAATGACCTGACTCCTTAGACCTGCTGTCATCCTCGTAGATGCCATTCAGAACGACCGAAAGGAACGAGATACTGATACGTTTCAACATACGCCATCAGGTCTGGGCAGAGGTTGAAGGTAGTACCTACATCAGGATTGCAATTTGTACAGGTAGCGCGGTTTATCGAGGTTGAGGCAACAAAGTCATTGGTATTCAGTTGATGGATCCGCAATGGAGGCGCCGTTTGTGACGTCAAGTATTTGTTTGTACGATCTGCACGACGGCCAGTATTTTCGTGACCTCTATTCCCAGAATACGGCAGATGAACTGCTCGACGCGGACCAAAGCTCCGAGGTCGCACTCCTAGAAGATTGCTCTGATGAAATGGCCGGCCGAGGGCTTGTGATTTGGTTGCAGGCTACGCTCCCTAGTCTTGGCAGCCTTCCGGCTTTGAAAAGTCTCTATGTAGGGAGTAAAGGTACGTAGGCGGGTGATGGCACAAAAGGTGCATGATCTCCTGCGGGAAGGTAAACGATCTGAGTGGGACTAAAGCAACCGTTCTTTCTTCTTGAGGTGAAGCTGGTGTTCTATCCTTCTCTCACGCTGCCCCGTCTAGCCCTCCACCGATGTAGCCGGGACTTCTATAAAGTATCTCGATCAGCAGTGCCCGCCCAAACGAGTCCCCAACAGTGACGGCTAGATGCACATCAGCACTGGAACGGATTGCGTCTCTGAAATGAGGAACTGAAACCAAGCACTGAACATTTAACTAAGCTCAGAGGACGCTGCCCCTGAATTACAAAGTTCCAAAATCCGACCGCTGCCCGGGAGTAGCTGTCAGCGCTCAACTGACTGGGTAGTCCCGCATTGTCTCACACTTCAACGGACCGAGATATAGTCAACTTCTCCCTCTCGGGACGATGTAGCTCAACGGTGCAATTGAAATCTCGGTGTGAGGATGGCCCCTCAGATTCGTTGGCTGATGCTGACAAGTATCAACTATCAAGCCCTTGGAGAACAGATTGAATGGGTTATCCGGCCTGAGCGAAATGCCAGACAGGCTAGCTCTCCCAGGAGATAATCTAGGAGCGCTCGGCAGTCACCCGCTCACTAGAAGCAGATAGCTAATCGCCAGGCCGCCGGAACTGAGGAAAGCGGAGCAACTCAATGCAGTCAAAGCAAGCTCCAATGAAGGCTGGGAATGCCTTGCTTCGATCGCCAGACCCTCGGAAGAAAAC